CGGGCCGCCGCCCGGCCCCAGGGCGGGCAGCCTCGGGGAGGGGCAGAAATGCCCCCCTGTGCCTTCCCACAGGAGCCGGGCCCGCCTTTGCCTCTCCAGACCCTCCTGCCCCCCGGCGTCCTGGGCCGAGTCAGGGCTTGCAAACACTCCAGCACCTAACCAGCTGCACGTGACTCCCCCCACAGCTGCCTGCAGGACCGGGTCTACGATTTCTCTCACCGAAAAGGCAGGACGGTTCCAGGGCCAGCACGCCCGGCTCCCCGGGCCCCGCTGAAGAGTCAGAGCGACGGTCCCCAAGGGCACCTAGCAGCTCCGGAACTGACCCCGTGGAGGCTACGTCCTGCTTCCCTGTGTGCCGCTGGCTGGGATCAGTTGCGGGCTCTTTCCCGCAGCAGCAGATTCTGCCGCGCCACTCAGATTTCAGGGGAACGCAATCCGGGCCTGGGCACAGCGTCTGGCAGCTCCCTGGGCTCCCCCCCTCGGCCACAAGGTCTCCTAGCTGGGGAGACCGCGTGAAGCCAACGATGAAACCGGAGGAGTGACCCTGCACTAGAGAAGCCCCCATTTTCAAAGCCAAGCTGCGCGGCTTCCACGGAGAGGCGGTCTTGCTCTGTGCCTGCCCGGGTGCCCAGCTGGTGGAGCTGCGACCCTGGGCCGGCCTGGCCAGGAACCAGGGCTGCCAGCTGGCCTGGGCCCGCTGTGCACTGCAGCCGGCAGGAGCAGGGACAGGAGCGAGAGGGGACGTTGGGCGCCGGGGCCTCACCGGGAGGGGAGCCTTTGGGGCCAGCTTGTCAGGGAGTCCCGGGAGGAGGATGGCGTGGTTCCTAGGACTCGTCTGGAGGCTGCTGCTACTGCTGCTCAGCGTGAGGCTGGCGTCCAGCTGGATCTTTGGGCTCAGAGCCAGGTCTTCAGACGGCCTGGAGGCGGAGATGGGCCCCAGAGGTCTCAGACACCCGGTAACTGAGCTCCGGGGCCCGATGTGCTCCGGCCGCTCCGGCTCGGCTTACCTGGGCACGGCGGGGTCGCTGACGGACGCGCTGCTCAGGGCTGTGACGGAGGTGAGGGAACTCACGCTGCTGCCTGGCAGCCCGGCCACCTAGCGCAGACACAGAGCAGTGCCCTGAGGCGGGGGGCTCTGTCCCCGAGCAACTCCCGGCCCCTCCTTGCTGCACCGGAACCCCGCTTGCGGCAGCCCCCCCCAGGGAACCCAGGCAGGAAACCTCGAGGAGCCAGGCTCTTTGGCCCGAGAGCTGGGGTTTCCAGGTGGCCCTTCTGTACGCCAGCTGCCTCAGAGCCCTGGGCATGGCCTCTGCCTTGTACCCTGGATCCGCTGGACGCGAGCGCCGTCCCCCCGCACTCCTCACTGCCCCCCCACCGGCTACCTGCTGAAGGGATGTACTCGGGGTCATGAAGGCATCCGGGGTCATCAGCTTGGGCTTGGCGTCGTTGGCGAGGGCGAGGAAATCGACAGGCACGGGCAGGTCCACGATGCGCCGCAAGTCTGGCTGGGAGCCGTGCACCGAGCCCTTCTCCGAGCCCAGCCCGTCCGCGCCCAGGTCAGCCAGGGGGTCTGCAAAGGCTGCCGAGAGAGGGCCAGAAAGTCCCTCTGAAGGAGGCAGACAGGGCTGGGGGGTTGGGCCGGCACGGGAGTGCTGCCCCCACAAATGGGCAAATTGACCCATATCTGGGGGGTGAGCGGGCCAGGCTGGGGGTGGGGCAAAGCTGCTGCGTGCGGGGACAGCTGCCCCCTGCTGCCAGGCAGTTCCTAGCCAGCAGGTGCCACCCTCCCCACCCCCAGCCTCACTGCTCCAGGGACCTGCTCCGGGGCCCGGGGGGTG